CAGCATGTAGCCATGCACACGAGAGCCTCCCTCCTGTCCATCTGCTGGCATAGGCTCACCAGCATGGTTTCCATGATCGCAGCTGGCGACAATCTGCAAGTCCAAGCCTGAATGCTGTCGCCACCATGCCAAAACAACCTCCGTGGAAGGAAAAGCTGGCTTGCTGCAAGCCGCCGGCGCCACCCAATGCTTATACCACTCGTGCCGCAGCCTTTCGCTCGTGCTCGATGCGAAATACTTCCGCAAAGCTGCCTTGGCCACTTTGCCGTCCGAAAACTTCGCCTTCAGGTCCGGCGCTGCAGCAAGGAAACGGAACACCCAGGCATCTCGTGCATCAGTCCGGTCACGGTGGCCCAGTTGGTTCAAGGCCTCTTTGACGCCACGCGGCGTTGGGGGCCTTGCGACCTTCGCAGTCCTGGTGGAAAGCATGAGGCTTCGTCACATAGGTACAAAATGCTTGTGAAGCATACAAATGCGCAAAAGGAAGCAGTACGACAAACAACAGAACTTACTGCGGAAGTTTACGGGGACAAGTTGCCAATCGATGCGTTGACGCTTTCGCCGCTCTTGCGCCGGAGCAGCAGGTGCCGGAGCGGGCGCAGACTCACTCACTGGCTCAGTGACACCAGCGTCACCAGCCTCACCTGCCTGCACGCCTGCCGCGAAACTTGCGAGGAACGGCAGCAGCGCAGCATCCTCTTCGTCCTCTTGGCGATGCTGTGCACCATCACCACTGGAGCTGTGATTCACAGCACTCTCCAAATCTTCAAGAAATGGAACAAGTGCAGCATCATCTGGATTGGTCTCCAGTCCTGGCTCGGAGGACAGCGGGAAGTCTTCCACGTGAGCCTCTGCCACAAGCCTCGCGAGCGCTTCTTCCAAAGACTCATCTGTTTGCTCCATGCAGTGCCATGCCGGCAGTGGAACTGTCACACCGCTCAAGTTGGCATTGTTAAAGCACGGCTGCTACACGAGAGGTGTGGTGGTCTTGAAACAAAACGCCTTCACACAACGGTGGCCCTCTGCTGCTACACTAAAAGATCCCACCAACTCCGAAATGTCTGTAAAAGCTTCGTTTTCAGGAGCACGGT